TTAGTAGTACGTAAATAATGTAGTTCCTAAACCAATTAGTAGTTTAAAAAGTTTAAAATTAACAAGTAAGAAATAATTAGTACGATGAGTTAGTAACTATATATATATATATATATACACTTTTACATTTTGGCTAGTAATATAGAAAAATACTGCAAGATTACTGGTTAAAACTTAGTTAAAAATGAACAAACATTTCAAAACGTCTGTATATTTCTACTTTATGTCATGATATTGGTACACACAAAGTTTCTATGTCATAGCATGTTTTGTGTTTGTTTTAAGTGCGCTAAAAGCTTTCATGGGAGCCGTTTAATGAACTATTAAAAAGAAATTCATTATAAAATTAAGAGCAGATGTTTAGTTTTAGCCGTTTTAAACTAAATTGGCTTGTTAGCAGAGTGTAATATATACAGTTTATCACCAACAAATCAGATTTGCCGGGCGTTGATTAGTGGTTATCGTGGCTGGCTGTATATCCGATGGTTTATATTTTGCTTTTCATTACCATAAAAAATTACCGCAAAGGGCCATGGGTGCACTATAAGAATGACAGTCAAATCTCACTATTCGGTTAGAGTAGCCCAAGAATTAGCTATGGATGCTGTTAAATAGTTGCCTTCCGTCTAATCAATTATTTCAAATGTAGGGACTGCTAGCGCAGCTAGCTCTTGTGTAACTTAATGTGAATATCCGAAATGATCATTCAATAAATTAGTGAGATTAATTTTTAAGATCAAACTCGAAATGATGATAACCTTACCAGAGCTTACTGAATATTACAGTCTCCTTCAGACCTCTCCTTCTAAATAGTAAACAAACTCCTGATTGCGTATCTTTATAGCTGGAAACAACATTAAACAAAAAAGTGAAACACACTTTACTTGGTGATACTTTTTAAATAGGGGAATATATAGGAGTCTACCTCGTACATAAAAAAAGAAGAAAGTAATTTATAAGAGTTAAGACTTATTTTATCTTTTTAACCCTTTATTACAGCAGTTTGAAGCGGCATAATATAGATAATGCTATTGCTAGAAGGTACAAAAAACAGCCGTTTCACTCTGAGAAACTCGTTATAATAATGTGTACTTGGAATAATCTCGGATTGGAGATGAGGAGTTGGTTGCAAGCCGCTTGTTAAATGGTCTGCATCAAGTGATCACAAGAGATTCCTTCTCGCCCATTAGAGAGCAGAGTATCACAAGAGCGAAAGTGTGACTTACCTCCAGACGACTCGCCAAAGAGGTCACTCGTATGCGCTGTGCGTCTCTCCGATGTTTTGTTGGACAAGAAAAAAAAAGATTTTGTAAAACCCACTTAACCGTGCTTGTCGTAAACTTTTAAGAATCGTTGTGTCGGACAGCAAGAGGATAACTGATAAGACAAAAAGATTGTCACAGTTGTAGAATACCTAGCTTGGAGTGACCACGCGTTTGACAAGATTTGGAAAAGAGCTTCAGCATATTTGTATGTTCTGGATTGACGAGCCTTATCAAATGGAGCAATCCCTGCAGTAATTATGGGCTTGCTTGCATTGCTCTTGGTAAATACCCGCTTCAGAAGTAACTCCGAGACTGAATGAAACCATGCAGCTAGTGGCCGCTATCAGGCCATCTGCGCCGGGAGGTCCCCCACCACGTGGTTTCTTCCCATGGAGGGGTCGCAAGCACATGGGGAGGGTAGGCGCCAGGTAGCCATCAGATCTCACCGCGTGCCCCGCGCTACTGTCGGGTGGACCGCGTGCGAAATGAACAGCACTGATTGGGTGTTGGCTGTCTTGTCTTGTTCATCATATAAGCAAATTTGAATGACCTTCAAATAATAAATACACAATATAACTCTTGAAACCTGAATAAATAGAAAGCTACTTTTTAGGTCCTCAGTTTAGATTTGAACTTTTTAATAAAATGAGTATCAATTTAAAAAGTTATAAAAAGGGCAAAAGTTAAGTAACTGAAAATAGGTTATTCAAAGAAATATGAAAGACGTAAAAACGCCTCAGAATAAAAATTCCTTTATTTAAGTTTAATGAAAGTAGTTAGACTTATGTACATTATCTTGTTTGTTTGTTTTTCTAATTATGCACAAAGCTACACAAGGGCTATCTGTGCTCTGCCCACCACGGGTATCGAAACCCGGTTTCTAGCGTTGTAAGTCCGCAGACATACTGCTGTGCCACTAGGGGGGCATACATTATCTTATGTAAACTAGGTTAGAATTAAATCATTGTACGAAATGAACATCGATTAACGTTTAATATGTTTGAATTAAGCAAGCGGTGTCAAATGTTGTATTTTCTCAATTCTAACCATAGTTCGTTTACATATTACATAAGAAAAGACATGCTTATCTGTCACAAAAGCCACATGATCATGTATGGAATTTTGTCAAAGCAAACAAGAAGGAATCCTCAATAGCCGCGGCACTTGTAATTTTATTTTTAGCCAGGATTAGAGCAAATTAATCTATGAGACCTTTTTTTTTCTCTTTTTTTAGCTATATTTTTGAGCGCCAGCAAAACCAAGCGTGAGGCATACGTATACCTGATTTGATTTTACTACTCATCAGGATCTTTACCAGCCTACCCTCAAATGTAAATTCTTTTAGGCAGGATTAGAGTAAATTAATCTATGAGACTTTGGGCGTAGTCAAATAAATCAATCGACCTTCTGAATTTAAAACTGTAATTATATTTCAAATCGGTCAAAAGAAGACGGAGCTATGAGCTAAAAGTTTGTACTTGATTAAAAAAACTCGGAGTTATTCTGTGAGCCGCTATGCTGCTAAAAAAGGTGAAAAAAATCTTACATCAACTGAAATAATTAATTTGTTTCGACACTTCACCAGCCTCTTTTATATGTTATTTTAAAATAATCAATTTGTTACGACACTTCACTAGCCTCTTTTATATGCTATTTTTTATTACATATGTTATTTTAAAATAATCAATTTGTTACGACACTTCACTAGCCTCTTTTATATGTTATTTTATTATTACGAAACGTTTTTGAAGCGTCATTTATAAAAAAACAAAAAACCTTTGTAAAATATCTTATATGAAATATTTCTTAAGGTGTCTCTTAAAACAGAAGTTTCTTTGAGGTATTGCACATTTCAAAAATGTGTTTGTGTATTATTTTACAGAAATAAACTATTTTTGATACACCTTATAGTAAAAATATTTTCAAGTTTATTTTAAACCAAACGTGGGGCGTGGCACAATTCAGAAATCTCTTTGTGGTATATTTTATAATAAAAAAAATTGAAGAATATATGTTTGCTGATATGGTCTATTTCAAAACTCTCCTTGTGGTATATTTCATAATAAAATATCTTGAAATATAGGACTTTTTCTCCTCTTCATGGTATATTTTATAACAAAAAGTTTTTTTGGTATAACTCAGTACAAGAACATTTGTATAGTATATCTTTATTAGAAACTTTGTTTAGAATAATGTTTGAACAACATAATAACGAATTAACATGACACTAATAAATATATTCAATCCTTTCACAGCATTATATTTTACCATAGTTAAACAAGTTGTTTCCTATAAGCATACGATTATAAACCAATAACATAAATTATTTGTTGAGTAATTCTAGTTTCTACTGAGTTTTATGGTTTTTAACTTGATTATTATATCACTAATAATTAGTTGTACATTTTCTAATAGAGTAAGCTTATTTTGTTTGATTTTAAGGACCACTCTCTCATCTCTAGTTTGAATTTTAAACTTTTGTGGTATTCCCCCTTATTTATTGTGTATTTTTTCACTTCGAATTTCAGCCGAGGCCTCTCACATGCCAGATAAGTGCACTACAAACTGAGCCAAAGGGCTAGTTCTTTAACTCTTCCTAGTAAAGCACTTTTAACTACTCACATCGATAGAACTTTTTTTTTTTTATCTTGACCTATGAAATATGTTAGTGTTAGTCTCTCAGTCACTTGTGTAGCTTATGACACCCTGTGATATACATGTACGTTGTTATAAGCTTATAACATATTGAGATATACATGTATGTGGTTACATAAATTGTAATTTTTTCTGTTTTCAATACATAGTTTCAGAAATTACAAAGACAATTTTTTTATACAGTGTCGAATTTCGAGTTTGTGTCACATAGCACTGACCTAGGAAATGATTAACAGAATATCTTGTCACATTTGTTTAATTATTCCACAGATTCATTCATATTTACATAATAATTTAAGTTAACTGTTTTCATAATATTGGTCTTTAATTTGTCTGTAATATTTTTGTTGAGATTTGTTCATGGAAAGTTATAGAATCCACAACTGTTTTCAACTATAGGAAAGACAAACTCATATAATCATATTAGTATACATACAATTTTGGAAGTCATCCGCTTCATTGTTCCTACTATATCATTATAACACACGTATTTAATTACTTTCGT